ACCATTGGAAGGTGAGATGCTCACTAGCGACTTGCCCTATTCAGGTAGGTAGTTAGTTACCTGGGGTTCTAGTGAGAAGTCGTGACCAGTAGGGTACGGCAGGTCGGGTGTGAGAACAAATCCCTACCGAAGGCATTGGCTAGGGGTCGCGCTATGTCATGAATTGGCAGAAGTTAGAATTCATAGGTTGGCTATTGGATCGGGTCCCAGTGACTAGTGGTCTACGAGCTTTCCTTGTAACCAGAAAGTCCTGGATTCGAACCCCGACAGTGGGAGCATACTGTCAATGATTCCCAAACTAGGTTGACCCAAACATCTGTCCAGTGCTACCTACAGGTTTTCCGATGGTTTTTTAACCGATGTCAACTCACTATTGAATTGAATTTTTAATTTTCCCGTCGATTGATTGGACCGAAGTGCTCAGTCTCAGGTTGACATGTCGGCTTCTTGTGCAGATGCTTCGACGATGTCTGGGGATTTGATTTGTATACAATTGGTGGATGGTGGCTAGCAGTGGAATCCAGGACGCGCATTTCGTCCTAATTGGGACTCGTCATCTGGATGTACCTGCATTTCTCAGTGAGTGATGATGTTCCCACCGAGGCTCGAACCCAGTGCTAATAGTTTCAAACGCCAAAGCGTTATCCACTAGACCACTTGGGCCACTATGGTCACTATGGTCACTGGGTTCGAGCCTCGGTGGGAACATCATCACTCACTGAGAAATGCAGGTACATCCAGTTGACGAGTCCCAATTAGGACGAAATGCGCATCCTGGATTCCACTGCTAGCCACCATCCACCAATTGATGTCAACTTACGATGATGAAATCCTGTAACCAATCAAATCCCTACAAACCACCACTTAGATTACAGAATTGATTAATAATATAAAAGTGAAGCGCTAAATATAATAATGTTTGTGTAGATTCTTTAATATAAAAATTAATTACCTTTAATGGATACTTCATGCGTTGTTCTTCTTTACAACAACAACAAGTGATTCCAACTAACCCAGTAAAATTCACATGTATTAAAGTTGAATGCAATTTTGCGTGAAACATTGAGTTTATTTTTTAAGCCAATATAGTGCTGTCCTAGAGAAATAAGAATAGGTCATTTTTAATTTCTTTTTTAAATGAGGCTTTGCTGTAAGACAGAATACCACCACCACCACCACCTCAATGGTCTGCGTTTTCCTGTATCTTATAACAACACTTGGTTTAGCTGAAATTTTCTACTTGACATAGTGAGAATGTTGACTTCTATGTCGACTGTTATTCATCTTCAGAAATCCTAAACAAACAAAAATATTAGAAAACCTTTCCTGAGTATTCTTTCGGGAATTCACATCACAAATACGTTTCTTTCAGTAAATATAAATGCCAGTAAACACGTGTGTCATTATTATTATTTTCTTTAGTTTCTAGAGGAGCATAGGGATTCAGCCGCACGTCTCCTCCATTGCCTTCGGTTCTCTGCCAACGTTTTTATCTTGCCCCACGTCTGCCCACATGCTTTCATCTCCTCTGCTCATCGCCTCTTCCATGTCACCCCATCCTCGCACTGACAACCAACTCGCCACTTCTCATTCGCGTTCACCCCGAGCGATGAAGCTTGTTATTTCTGCTTAGTCTGGTAGGTTTGAACACTGATTTTAGAATAGTGAAGACATGTCCTACCTTTCCGATCCTGTCTGCCATTGAAATCATCTGTGCTGTCGCCTGTAGTTGAAATGCTGCCTCCTAGATAAGTGAAATAAGTGACGTTGTTTAGATTTCTTTCGTTGACAATTCTTGTAGTTATTATTTAAGTATCTCGATTACCTATGTGAAATTCTATCTTCACCTCCTACCTCTTTTGTGAACTTGTCGGCTATCATCTGTAAATCTTTGAATTTGTGTCACACTGGATGTTAAGCGTCGGCGATATCCATATCTTCTAAAGTCTTCTTGTCTGCCCAGAGTTTTCCTGTATTCTTATTCCCCATTCATGATCCGCAGTCAAGAGTGTATTATCATCTGTGGTAGTTATCAGGCAGGCTTGTCTTACTCATGTCTTCATTTTCAAAGCATCGCTGAGTTTTCCTTTGTGATCCACTTGATATTTGGCATCCTTATCTATGAAAAATATAAGTAATATTAAATAAAAACACGATATAGCGCGACCACTTCGCAGTGTCTTCTTCGATGAGTTACTGCCTCATATTCAACCTGCTGTACCCTACTGGTCACGGCTTTCCACTAGAAACCCCAGGTTAACAACCTGAATAGGGCCAGTCACTAGTTAGCATCAGATTAATTTTCAAGTATTGGTTTTGTAGGGATTTCGTTTGATTGCATGGAGGATTTCACCATGAGCTGATATTAGTTAGAGAACCACTGGAAAACCCACCTGGGAGTACTGGGCAGCTGTTTCGTCCTAGTTTGGGACTCCTCAGCAGTACGCACCCACCGACACGGTTTGAACCCAGGACCTTCTGGTTACAAGGCGAGCTCGTGTACCATTAAGACACTGGGACCCGATCCAATGGCCAGTTCATGAATTCTAACTTCTAATCAATGTCAGCTCATGATGAAATCCTGTAACCAATCAGATCCCTACAAAACCAATACTTGACAATTAAATAAAAACTGTAAACTCGTATATCATTTCATGATATCGTGAAAAAGTTTTGATTTTATTTTGTCATGTTTATATAGGCTTGTTATTCTCAGGATTATTCATACATCCCCGTCGTCTTATTTTACCTTACTTGAGCTTTCATCATATAAGTTAGTCTCCGTCCTTCGTTAAATGATTGTAGGATTTTATCTGGTTGTTCCCTTTGCCGTCTTCTACATCATGTCTTTAGTCAGATTTTGGTGTTTTCTAAATTAATGCTTTACAAATCAGGACAAGGAAAAACTTTTTCACAAATAATCAACTTATAATTCTGTTATTTTGTATTTGTTACCATATGATTTTCTAGGTTCACATTTTTTGTGGTGTTAAGTTACTACTTATTAACTAACGCTTTTAAGTAGAATGAGCTTAGTCCTTTAATTTTCTACGTGTCATTCGTAGTGGACATCGTTCACAAATTTTTGAATTTAATTCCAATTAAATCGACTCAGAACTTGAATGAATTTATGACGTTTAATCTATCATATAAAAGGTTTATAAAGTGGTGAGCACTTGTTTATCCCAAGTTATTGCTAATGAGTAGTTAAATATATCCATTGTACTTTAGTGTGAAATCGTTATTTGCGTATTCATTGGTATTCATTTACCCGATCTCGTTACTTAGCAACATAATCTATTTTCTATTCTTGGTTATTTACCACAAATATTGATGAGCCTAGTCGAATAATTTGTCATTTCACTCAGGTTATTATTAATGTTCTAATTTTAATTCTATTCTTCTGCATTCTGAATTGGACAATTGGCTTCATACTGTAAGCTCAGTAGCACTGGTGTATAGTTTTATGCTATAGATTTGATGGCCTTACGCCTAACGTTCCCTGTTTATCAGTCTGATCAATGGCTAGGTTTAAGAGTGCTCCCACTGGCGATTAAACCTTGGCCTATGCGTTTGTGTTTACTGAGTGTTCTACCTATGAAACACCGACTTATGTCTTGAAAGTTAGAATTCATGAGCCATTGAATCGGGTCCTAGTGGCTGAATGGTATACGAGCTAGCTTGCCTTGTAACCGGAAGGTCCCGGGTTTGAATCCCAGTAGGTGCGTACTTCCGATGATTCCTAAACTAGGATGAAACAGCAGCTTTCCAGTAATCCCTGGTTTTCAGTGGTTCTGTAACTGATACCAATCCGTGATCAACTCTTAAAAACGTCGATGCACCAGTTAGTATTAGTTGTTTAATAATTCTGGGTGGCCATTAGTATTTTTTAGAATATGTATATATAAGTTCAGTTGGAAATTTTTTCCAGTTAGTGGATGAAGGGTCCGAGTCCCGTTCCATCTCGTCACATCATAAACATGTCTTATAGCCTAATAATAGCCATCTGAGTAATATCTAACAAACTAACTAACATATTAGTTCAAGGTTGACGATTTCCATGAGAAAAGCATTACAACACTGTGCGAAATATAATTCACTGAACTACGTGTTTTCTATTTTAATTAGTCTTCCAGATATGCCATAAAATAAGTCACAGATACTTATAGAATTCACTGTTTTAAGTACTTTATTATCCAGCGACCAATAAAGTTATTCTACCCAACAAAAACAATAAATCTTTGTTGATGGTGACTAGCAGTGAAATCCACGACGTGCATTTCCTTACATTTGGAACGTTGTTAACTGGATGTATCTGTAGTGATCACACTGAAACCTAAAACCGTTACGCATCGTTTCAAATGCCGAAGCATATTACCCAAAAGGCCAGGTACATTCAGCCGAAAAGTCCAGAATAAGGTGGAATGCACATTTTGAGCCCCACTGCTTGACACCATCAACCTCAACGGCTTCATGTTAGTCCCTAGATATCTACGAAGCCTCCAGTCTAAAAGGCAGTATATTAACAGAGGTTGTGCATTTCTCGCTAACCTAATCACTCATCAGGAAATGCGAATTCACAAAAACATAGATTCTCCAGTTTTTTTTTGCCCTCTTTCCTTCACTTCGTCAAGTACTTATTTTATAAGAATGTTATTTAATTGCAAAGACTTTTCTTTCGGTCAGTTTCTCTCTTGTCAAATTCGGTCATTCTGTGTATGGAGGTATTCTCATCAACATTGTTCTATCTTTTGTTACTCACCCCCTAAAATATCTTTTTGTAGTTGCTTTTTGCTACTGAATAAATAAATAAGTAGTCAGTTGTGCTAAGGCTAATAAGCTCAAGTTTTCTGCTTTTTCTTTTTTTTCGTAGCACGTTTACGATGACGAATCACTGCTTTGTTATTCATGTAGTATAACAGTTAAATGTTTTGGCACCAGTGTGATGGTTTATTCTCAATCTAACTGGTCTTTTGTACATTTTGTTTTTTAATTTTTAGATATTGAACAGGATCTTCAAAAGATTGATGCATGGTTGGATATGTTAGCTTCAAGTAAGTCATTCTTCACGAATTTATTACGATCATAATGTTGGTCATATGAATTTGAACTCATACTCGGTAACCTTGGCTCTTACAAAGTTGAGCGCTAGTCAGTTCTAGTGAAGATTTCTTCACGAATCAACATCAATTAGAGATAATGGGACTTTTCGCTGTGCACGATCACAAACCCACCTGGGATCGAACCTAGAACCTTCAGGTTTTAAAAACCAAGTTTGTTGATCATTTAGCTTGTCAGGGTGGAATTCAATGACATATAAATTCTAACTTTGTCGATACCTTGACATGCTGCTTCGTCCCTAGTTTGGTACTCTTCATTGATATGGACCCAACACCCTCTGGTAACAAAGCGAGCTCCTAGAGCATCCAGCCGCTGAAACCCGATCTAATAACCCATAAATTCAGATTCTACCAACCCTCGATGCACATGGCGCAAGCGTCAGAGGGAATCCCCTGATTCGAACCCAGGTGGGTGGGTGCTTCTTATTAAGAGTCCCTGATTTCAGCTGATGGTCGTAGACGTGGTGTTATTTGAATTGTGTATTTGTAATAAAAAGAAGCCATTTATATTATAACTGATTCTATTATGTCACACTTACTTATGGAACTGATATCAATACGAAATATATTGTCTGAATAGTTTGATTTATGCTATTATCAGCTAGTTTAAGGCGTCACTAGTAGATGAAATGAGGCAAGATTTAAACCTCTCAATTTTTGTGGCATAGCCGTTAGGACGCTCGCCGACCATGCACATGGTCTGGGGTTCGATCCCTGGTTGACGAACTCCTTTACCTTGCTAAGCCAGAAATAATGCTGGTGAAGAGGAAAGTTTGGGCATTAGGCTAGCAACCCCATCCTGTAAAATAAACACTGCTACAGAAACTTCAAGCCACTAGCTTGAAGGCGCCGTATGTTCCACTGGGAACGTGGAGGAAAAAAAAGAAGAAGAAGATGCTATGTCAGTTATCAGTTTCTGTTTTGTTGATCTACGTCAATGAATCTGTTATCTGGGCAGATATAACATTTATTGTATTATTGTGTATAACAGTGAATTTCCCATTGTAGTTTATGATTTTTAATTTTCATTCAACCTATTCAGATTTACCTAACACTTCTGCTTGGATGACATGTCTTATGTCATTGTCTGAAGTTCAGAAATTCTCTGCAGCTAAATACTATCAGGTGAACTACTTTAATTCGATTTGTTTTAATTTTATTTACTGTTTGGTTTGTATTTTTTCACCTAAATATATAATGGAAACTTGATCAGTAAACTTTGACAGAAGTAATAATAATAGGTTCCAAAGTTCTGAGCATATGGCTTTAAGAAAATATCTCCACTTTCTCTCTCTCTCTCTCTCTCTCTCTGCAATCCTCTTTAGCTGTATGCATGACTGCCCACTCCTCACATGATCTCCTCTCTATCACCTACAAACTCTTCACTTTTCATTTCCCACTCACCTCTACTCGAGTTCTGGCCTGATGAACGATGTCACTCAACAATCGCCTCATTGTTTGTCCGATCCACCTACATTCTTTTCAGAATATTTGTTGAGCTTGCTGGTAATCCTTTTTGGTCTTATGATCTTTATTACTTAGACAGCGAAGACAGATGTTGCATAATAGTCTGAAACCTATGGGAAATAGACGCGCTAAGTCTTCAAAGAATATAGAAGAACTGACTTAACATTGGTGTGGAAAATCCGAATCTTTTTCTTCATGCTGAGTGCAGAAGACTTTTAAACTGATTTCAAACTGATAAAGGTGTGTGTGTGTGTCTTACCTTTCAGATTCTTGCTTCCACATTTTCATTTGTTCCCCCAGTGGTTGAAACAGTGCTTCCAGCATAAGAGCAGGAAATTACCTCTTGCGAATTTGTCTTGTTGATTGTGATTGGTACTGTTTGTTGTCGCTGTTGGTTGGTTATCTTCCTCCCCTCTGTCTTATCTATGTTCACTCGAAGTTCTGTCCTTACTGCTTCTACTGATAACTTGTTAGTTTTGGACTTTAAGTCCCCGAATTCATATGACAACACACAAATCATCCGCGAAATGCAAATCTTCCAAAGTCCTCGCATCAGTCCAGCGTGTTCCTGTCCCGCTTACCATGCTCGGCATGATCTAGTCGATCACACACAGAAATATCATCATTGCTGTTGGTAGATAGCGTGATCTTAATCCCGTCTTCACTCCAAATGCTTTTGTCGAGTTTCCCATTGTGGATCAATTGAAGTGTGGCAGTAACAATTTCTAAGGTCTGGATAACTACATGCATAACTACTTGATATGATCGTTAATACACTTGATAGTTACCGCTAACGAACTTCCTAACTAGTCGATGTGCGAACCTTTTGTTCTTATCACTATAGGAAATAACAGTGACACGATATGATTCCACTGAACCCGTGATACAAGAAGACAGAACGCTGACATAGAGAGCTTTTACTGTCTCGAATCTATAGCGAAAAGGATTAAAAGCGATTGCGTAAATATGCACTTTAAGTGGCCTTGAGAGACACTAATTGCATTGATAAGTTAAAATTGTCAACAACCGATAGGGTTCCAAGGTCATAAGTGGGTGAGCGGGAAATGCAGGCAGCACTGTGGAGTGAAGATAACTGTGTAGTACTGTAGAAAATTTAGGTCTTGATATCACTATTACATGACTTACGTACACAACAAATCATTACCATACGGAATGCCTCCTTGTATTGAATGAATAACCTTCCTTCAATAAATGGTGATGGTTTACAACTTTCAAAGTAGATTCCTTCAAAGCTGCAATTACTCCTTGTAGGTTAATACAGATTATTGGGAGACAACTGTATGTAGTGACTAGCTGATCGATTGTTTAACCCTGTTTTTCTGAAAGTTTTTTCCACTCCTCTTTGATCCTAGCGCAACACAGAGTTTCAAGCTTGAACTTTAAAGTTTCAGCAGCGGTGGCGTTGCCTTGTTTACGGGTTGCTAGCCTCATGCCCAGGCTTACTACTAGCTAAGCGAGGTAGAAGAGTGTGTTGGCTGTAAATCGAACTTGAACCATTCGCGTGCATTCTACGCCTGAACCGCAGATGTACAATGTGTGTATATATAGTCGGAAATTATAAATACTAGTTACTGCTGCGAGTGAACTTCAAGCTTCAACCTTCGGAGTTTCAACAACAGCAGTTTTGGTTTTACACAGTAAGATTCCAAGCGTCACACACCACCTTCCTTCTTTTCATGTCAGCTAGCAAAACTACTTGAGGATTATATGGATAACACTAGCCAGGGATCAAACCTGAACCTCCTACGTACCACCGGACCACAGAGTCCCACAAAATTATAATATACTAACATGTCAGTTCACACTAAATCAACAATTTTATGCTTTAAAAGCTTTGTTAGAGTCGACTTGATGTCCAGCCAGTATCGACGAGATGAGTTAGGATTAAGCTGCATAACGCTTTATTCGGACCTATGCCAAACCACGATGGGAGGTGTTCAGAAATTTGACAATGAACCTGCCTGATCGTACGCCCTATGTAACTAGCTCCGCCTCATGAGCAGTTAAACTGGTAAATACACATGGAAGAAACGAAACAGGGCGGTCTATCTCTATTTATTGAACTAAGTATTGATCGGCTAGTGAATTTACTGAATATCTTAGCTGTGTTCAAAGTCCCTTTGAAGGCCTTTCTCAAACGTCGTAATAAGATCTCATTATAGATATCAAACCTGTACCTCAACTTTATAGACTTTGAGAAGGCCTTCGACAGACAGAGTTGACCGTGAAGTAATTTGGAAACTACTCGAGTACTACGGCGTTCAGCGCCCAAATATTCATCAACCTTATTCAATATCTAGCTGTACGACAACGGCACATATCAAGTGATACACAATGGAAAACTCAGTGAGGCGTTTGGAGTAAGCCCAGGAGTCAGACAAGGGTGGTGGTTTGGCATGCGATTCGCTCCCGCCAAATGCAAGATGATGTTACAGGACTGGACTACATCGACGCCTAGTTTAAAAATAGGAAGTGAAGTGGTAGAGCACGTTGACCGCTCCATTTATTTGGGAAGTACCATCAGCCCCAACGGGCTGATGTCTGACGAAATCTCAGCACGAATACAAGGGGCTCGTTTCGCATTTGTTAGTTTACGCCGACTCTGGCGTAGACGAGATGTTCGACTATCGACCAAAGGGCGGGTGTACTGCTCATCAGTCCGCTCCGTCCTCCTGTATGGTTGTGAGACCTGGCCACTCAGAGTGGAAGACATGAAAAGACTAGCTGTCTTTGATCATAGGTGTCTGCGCTCTATTTCCCGGGTAAAGTGGCATAATAAGGTGAGCAACATTGAAGTTAGGCGTCGAGTTCTAGGTAAACAGGGGAAATCAATCGACGAAGTCGTGAAGCTACAAAGACTGAGATGGTTAGGACATGTGTTACGTATGCCAAGCCATCGCCTCCCTCGACGAGCAATGTTAGCGGATATAGGGTCAGGCTGGAAAAAAGCTAGCGGCGGTCAAACAAAAACTTGGCACCAGTCAATGAAATCCACAACAGTTGGTCTAAGCCGCGTAGGAAGGTGTAGACTTCCAGGCTGGGGTCCTCGGGACGGTAAAAATCTATGGTTGGAAACAATTGGTGACATGGCTCAAAATCGTTCTCAGTGGCGCAGATGCATCCACTCCCTGTGACTTATGATCTCCAATGAAACTGTTTTGTATTTCTTTATTACTCCTTTGTCTCACACCTCTGCTCACTGTTTCTATTATGCTTTTCTTGTACTTTCTTCTCTTGCTTCGCGTGCTACACGGAATGTGGCGACTTGAACTTCCGCACATTTGTGCAAAGTTCTATGTCGAAAACAGACAGACAGACAGGTGGCTTATTATCATCAATGATATTCCTAATTGTGGTGGACTGCATTATGCGTCAGATAGTTAGTGGGAAACGAGAAGACAGGGATATCCTGGACCAACAGACGTGAAGAACCTAGAAGACCTGGATTTCGCGCTTGGATGATCTATGTTTGATGTCACACAAAATCGAAGACTTGCAAGCGAAAACCGACAAACTGGTCGAAGAAGCAGCCGACGAAGACAGGACTCCATGTGAACATAGACAAGACGGAGGTAATGAAAATAACCAACCATAACCACCAACAACAGCACCAACATCCAGCGTCAACCACCATCCACGCGAGGGATTTGAAAGAGGTTACTTCATTCACTTATCTAGCAGTGAGCATTGTTTCAACTACAGGCCACAGGAATGGACGACGATGTCAAATCGAGAATCGAATGGGGAAGGCGAGAAACACTCACATTCATCAACCTGAAATCAATCTGGAAATCTTCGTCGCTCAGCCAACATCACCAACAAATTTCGGTCGGATTTTCAATACAAACGTCAAGTCAGTCAGTTCTTCTATACGGATCAGAAACTTGGTGGGCGGGTTACAAAGAATATTTCCAACGGGCTATTGCAGATCAGACCTTTATCAACCAACAACTGTCTTCGCTGGCTCTATACTGAAGATCGGATGGCCGGATCGGAAATAATCACCAACAAGAAACTATGGCCACAAACAAACAAAACAAGAACCAATCACCAACCAACAAATATGCAGGAGAAAGTGGATTGAGATGGATTGGACACTGGCTGAGGAGACCGCTGGGTGACATACCGCGTCAAGCCCTCGAGTGGAACCAGGCCGAAAGGGAAGCGGCGAGTGGGACGTCGGTGCAAGGGTAACATGGAGGAGATCGTGTGAAGAGGAGTTGAAAGAGTATGGACTAACTAACATGGATTCAGGTGAAAAGTACAGCAGAAGGAAGACAGAAGTGGCAAGTGGAGACGTGCAGTTGAAGCCCTATGTTCCACTAGAAACCCAAGGGAGCAATAGTAATAAATAATAATTGGTATCACCCATGAATTTTAATCTGAGGAAGAGTGGGCATCTTCCACCTTTTACTTTCTGATTTCATGTGTTTCTTAAGGAACTCAGTCGGATACTTGTTTCTACTTAGTAGATCACGAATATTATCGAGTTCTCCATTCAGTGTCTCATATGAACAGATAAATCCAGATAGCCCGGTGATTTAAAAAAAAATTTTAATTATATATTTTTATTTTATTTTTGAAATATATGTATGTAGATTTGTTTAAAACAAATTGAACAGTATTCAAAAACTTTATCAACTATCAAAGAGTTAGTCGATCGTGTTGATGTGCATACAATGAATGCAGATTTATCCTTTCAAAATACCCTACATCATTTATCAAAACAATTTTGTCAGGCGGAAGCAAAATGTCACACCTTATGGTTACGTTTATTAGAGTTAACAATTTATATTGATCAAAATCTTAAAATTAATATCAGCACAAATAATACTGAACAACGTGAAGAAAAGTTGATCGAGAATTCTTGGAATATACATTTGTTAGCATTTACTTCTCAAGAGGTTAGTTAGTTATCCATCAAAAGTTATTATCATTATTATTATTGTCATTGATTCAGTTTTGGCGTTGCTGGCATAATCCTCTCTGTATCAGCGTTAAGTTGACTAGCTTGTTGCCGCCTATTCAGGTTCTACTCTAGCGACAGCCTGGGGTGTGTGTGTGTGCGTGTGTTTGATGTCACCTGAATGTCTTCTCAGTGTGTATCTTCATCTCACCATCTCCCTTTCCTTTTGTATATTCGTTGGTGTATATTCTCTGATGACTGGCAGAGTTCTTTACCAAGTATTGGAAATGATAGAGAAGATTTGTAGCTCAGGTGGATGATATGGATTGATGTGGTTGTGTTCTCTGAGCTAGCTGGATGATTAACTTGCGAAGCTTTCATCACCCTACTGGGTGACATCAATCAATAGACACATAGAGACAGACAAAATTTATCAACTGATAAGAAAGAAACTTCACACATAAAGGGTCAAAATTCAAGTCAAAGAAACAATCAGTTTCAATACAAGTAACCTAGAAGGTATGAAAACACACTAACAAAAACAACTAATCACGCCCAGGGTCACCAGGAGAGATGATTAATAAACTCGTGGAGAAATCTAAAAGCTCACTTCAATTCGAATTGAAGTATGCGCTCAAGATGTTTTCTAGTAGGGGGCAATGAAAGCTTCGCAAATAAACCACCCAGCTGGCTCAGAGAACACAACCACATCAAAATCATCAAGTATTGGTTTGTAGAGATTTGATTTGATTGGTTACATTATCTCATCATGTGCTGACATCAGTTATAGAACCATTGGAAAACCAGCGAGGAGTACTTGACAACTGTTTGCAACTCTTCAGCAGTGAACACACACCACCAGAGTTCGAACCCAAGACCTTCCGGTTATAAAGTGAGCTCGTGAGTATTCAGCTATTGTGATACCCAATCCAATGATACTAGCCAATGTTATCGGTGGTGATTGTCTGTCCTCACATCCTAACGGTCACGAACTGGCAGCATAATAAGCTCTCTTAGTAGCTCTAATATCGCACTTTCATGCATATTATCACTCACGTACCTATGCTTTGGAACTGTAATCTGTAGGGATTATTGACTTCGATGTTGTGTAAAACAGTGTTATTCTGGTTGACAACAATAAATTCTTTGGTTACAGGATTTCATCATGAGCTGACATTGGTTAGAGAACCATTGGAAAACCTGGGAGTACTGGACAGCTGTTTCGTCCTAGTTTGGGACTCCTCAGCAGTACGCACCCAGTGCCGGGGTTCGAATCCAGGACCTTCTGGTTACAAGGCGAGCTCGTATACCATTAAGCCACTGGGACCCGATCCAATAGCCAACCCATGAATTCTAACTTCTGCCAATTCACGATATAGCGCAACCGCTAGCCAATATCTTCGGCGAGTATTTGTCGTCACAGCCGACCTGTTGCACCCTACTGGGGTCGCGCTATGTCGTAAATTGGCAGAAGTTAGAATTCGTCGGCTATTGAATCGGGTCCCAGTGGCTGAATGGTATACGAGCTCACCTTGTAACCAGAAGGTCCTGGGTTCGAACCCCGATGGGTGCATACTAATGAAGAGTCCCAAACTAGGACAAAACAGCTGTCCAGTACCCCCTGCAGGTTTTCCAATGGTTCTTTAACCAATGTCAGCTCATGATGAAATCCTGTAACCAATCAACCAAATCCCTACAAACCTATACTTAATTGTTATACTCCGATAAGTGTAGAATCTAGTGAAGAAGTGATCGAAACGAAAATTTCTTGTTCACTGAACTCAGTCCTTTTAATTTTTTTTACTGGGTATCTTCACTGAATTTATGAGCTGTTTGAAATTACTTTGTATTTGAAAAGCATAAAATGCAATATTCTAATAACTACCTTATTTATTTTTATTTTTATGTTGACTTATTCATATCGACTAGTTGTGTACTATTAATCTGCAGAATACTTATAGCGCCTTTTGTTCAGTTTGAATTATATATATATATTTTCTTATTTTGATCTTTTTAAGATTACAATAAAGGCATCAGGTGTATGAATCAATTATGATCTGTACCTTTGAATATTTATTTATTTATTTGGTTAATAATGATTAATAATTTTGTATGAAGCGCAGGGGTGGGTGGTTTTCGGGGGAGGGGATGAAGGCAGAAGATAAGTGCTTGCTCTTGCTTGTAAATAAATCTATAAAGATTATTCTCCATATTAGTTTGTTTATTAGATGTATCCTTCATACAGTGATGAAACAGTATTATTACTTACTGGATGACACAGTTTCGAAAACAATTTAATGTTGTTCATAATAATATTACCAATTATAATCACAAGACTTTTAAACTTGAGTTTTATAGTTTTCTTTGTTCTCTCCTATTTATCGTCGTTTGGGGTAGTAGAATTCTCCAGATATCCGTCTGGGACAGCTGTTGAATCATTCCTATTACACGTCTTTGCAGTTGATTCGATAAATAAAACTTCCATTGTCATCAACCTCTCCCTCCACCCTGTGACATCGTGTGCGTCGGTGGCACAGAGGTTAGGACTCTCGCCGACCATGCACATGGTCCGGGGTTCGAGCCCCGGCCGACGAACACCTGATATCTATGATTGGCCTGAAAAATTTGGGCTACCGATATCACATGCTGAAAATTCCATAATTGTACCAAAAATGCGGTGTGGAATCAAGCTGTAATCAAAATAAAATAAAATAAATTTTAAAACTGTCATCTTATCCCATCCAGCCTATTATATGGTTGTGTTTAATTGCATTTGGTGTAGTGTAATAGGTGCTGAACTATTCTCCAGATTTCTTATCCTATCACGGTCAACTAATCTCGATTTTGCTAGGTTTTCGTTTTCCACTAGTTTGACTGGCCCCGTTCTACTACTTTGACCTATGTATTTAACCTGACAATCATTGCAGGCAGGGTGTTAGATAGACTAAATTGTTTTGTTTAACTGGCTCCGCAGGATTGATCCTTTAACCGACAAACCATGTTTCTAATTGAATTTGTGAGTTTGAATACCAGCCACATTTATTCCTATCAGCATTGTTAAGAATTTTCCCTAATGTTTCCGTGATTGTTTCTTTGTATGGAAGTACTACTGATGGCGATTTAGTATTGTCATTATTCTGTGCATGTTTGACATGCATGTCATTATTATTATTATTATCACTATCACTACCATTATTATTAATTTTATATTTATATTTTGCAATTATTAAGTTTCAAAGCTTCTCTTATATGCCTCACTTCCTGTCTTAAATTTTCCTTGGTACTACTTCGTTTTTGTGCTCTATTATTTAGGCATTTCACCAATCCTTTTTTTACTGATATAGGATAGGATGACCGGAAGTCCAAATATCTGTTTGAATGTGTGGATTTCCTATAAACACTAGTGTTTAGCTTCCCATTTTTTTTTTACTTTTTACTTTGCAATCTAACATTAGAAGCTCCCCTTCCTGACTTTTCAATTCATAAGTGAATTGTATTGCCTCCACCTTTGAGTTAATGTGTTTGTTTATCGAATCAACTGCGAAGACGTGTAATAGGAATGATTCAACACCTGTCCATCCTCCTGGACATCGGGAAAATTCTACTACCTCAAACGACGACAAAGAGTAGAGAACAGAGAAAACTATAAAACTGAAGTTTCGAAGTCGTGTGATTATAATTGTTAATATGATTATGAACAATAATAAATTGTTTTCGAAATTGTGTCATTCAGTAAGTAATAATACTGTTTCATCACTGTGTGATGGATACATCTAATAAACAAACTAATATGGAACTACTTACTGTCACAGTGCCCAAGTTATACACATACATTAAGAGATTATATCCACCGATTGTTAAGTAATTAAATATCTTAGGGATGTGATACTCTGCTCTTTTGTAGTGAGCTGATAATCAAGTTCTCATACTGATATTTGAGGGATTTTTGTTAGTCGTAGGTGTCAGAAAAACCTAGTTTCCAATGAGAATCTCTAACTGCTTTACACATCCATTATTGGAACTCAATAACTGTTTCAATTTGGTATGCTTAGCATCAGTAGAAACTGGACAACTTCCTGGGGTTATTAGGTTCTCAATCAGCAGGCGTGTTGCATTGGATTACCTAGGGTTTGGTTGTTCCGTATTTTCATGGTGTGTTTTTTAAAAAAGCTACGTCGTTTGAAATAACTTTTTTTTGACATACAGTCTAAACAATCATACAATGATAGCAGGTAAATTTACGCGGGAACTGTATTCACAATACAAGTAATACACAAGAAGAAATAAACACAGATATGATGCGCAATAAGAATAGGGTAGGGAAGAATTCTACTACTTACTGTTGTGTATCATCTATCTGGATGTATCTATGTGTACTAGAGTAGAAAGAAATTTCCCGCTGTGCAAATCGACTAATGCATTCACATCCAACAGGTATACGTTATCCTTTACATTGCTGTTCTACGGCTTTTATTTTTCTAAACTGTTGACTTTCATTTGGTGAAATCCAGAATGCGTATTTTGTCCTCATGAGATTTGTCGGCTGTATGTACCTGCAATCTACTAAGACTTGAAGTCAGTATTCATCGTTTCAAACACTGAAAGCGTTGTCTGCTCATTAACAATGTAAGTACATCCAGATGATGAGTCACAAATTGGACGAAATACGTATTCTGATATCCTCGGTTAATCAGAGTCCACGGAATAACATTATATTAACTCTCAACCTGTCAACATGACAATTTGGATGGATTATTATTTTGGTAATCTTGACACCTTCATCTGATAGGTATTTAGGGCGTTTCAATAAATGGGCTAAAATATACAAGCATGATTTCATGATAATTCAATAATTTACGTTTAACCCATCAATAGCAAACAACATTTTCTGATAAAAGTACAGCAAATGTAACGCAGTTCAAAAATATAATCCCCCTGACAATACGTAGGCCAGAAAAAAATTTCTTAATGCAAAATTTTACCGAAAAATTATACAGAAAACATAACTTGTCATTAAACCATCATAGCGACGAACTACGATGCTGCAATTGGAGGCGACATGAAATGAAGACACTCAAATTTAGCATGCCAAAAATAATTGTGTTACGAATTCCGGGAGTGTTGGACAGCTATTTCGTCAGCCCGGATTTGGGACTTATCATCATTACGCACCCACCTACCCCCACTGTTGGAACCCAGGACCTTCTAGTTATAAAGCGAGCTAGCTCGTAGAACATTAAGCCACTAGGATCTGATCCAATGGCCATCCCATGAATTCTAACATCTGCAATTCACGACATTGTAGGACCACTTAGCAATGTCTTCTTGGATGAGTAATTATCCTCACACCCGACCAGCTCCACCCTGATTGTCACGGCTTCCCAATAGAACCCCAAGCAAATAACTACCTAAACAGGGCCAGTTGCTAGTGAACATCAAATTAATTTTCAAGTATTAGTTTTGTAGGAATTTTTTTAATTGACTGGCTCGAGGATTTGATCATGAGCTGACATTAGTTAGAGAACCACTGGAAAACCAGCACTGGAGTACTGGACAGCTCTTTGGCCAGCCTAGCTTCGGACTGTTCAGCAGTATGCTTAATGGTCTACGAGCTCACCTTGTAACCAGAAGGTCCCGGGTTCAAACCCATGCAGTGGGTTCGTACTAATGAAGAATCCCAAACTAGGACGACAGACCTGTCCAGTACTCCAGTGCTGGTTTTCCAATGGTTCTCTAACTAATATCAGCTCATGATGAAATCCTCCAACCAACCAATCAAACAAAACCCTCATACAAAACCAATACTTGTGTCACGCAAGTTGATATTTTCCCGTGTTTTTTTTCACTGTGTTGTGCGCTAGACATGCATCAAAGTTCAGTGGGACACTTTCCCTATATTGTTTTCATTAAGCTTGTGGAGCACGATCTAAACAAGCAAACACACAATTTCGGTATATTCTCATCAATTACATAATGACATATTACTCGTAGACATTTGAAAAAAACGTGGATCAGTAGATTAAAATATAATCGATGAGAATATAAGTAGAATAATAGTAATAATAAAATCAGTTGAGATATTAAGACTAACTGTGCAACTGTACAACTCACTATGATATTGATAAGATAGTTAGCGATTCAAATAAAAATAAAGATAATATTCACAGTTATCCAGTGTCACTGAGAAAGATAACCATTCTTGTTTGGGGTTGAAGGCGACGAATTGGGTAAACTCTAACTTAACATGGAAATAGGGCTAAAAAAAAATTCTATGGCAAGCTCACGATCGTCTTCCTGAACGCTGTCCAACGTAGTTAGGCAAAGGAGTTGTAAAGCCAGTCAGAAGTTCCATATTAGCACACCTAGTGGATTCGGAGCATAAGATTGATAAAAATTCAGTCTTTACAATTCTACGCAAAGCGCCATCTCAACTCCTTAATTTTGTACCCATTCGACTGTTAGGTTAGTATAGCTGAGACAGTCGTTAAAGAAATTGTTCACCTCAATCTCTGCGTTCAGAAAGAGTTTGTTCAATCCCTCTCCCTCCCATGGCCTTCAACTTTAAACCAGAATAGTTATCTATCCCGGTAACACCAGATAATTGTTGATATTATCTTTATTATCAGTATCATACTGTTCTGTAGTTGTATGTTCTAATCACCTTACTACCGAGTTGGCAATGTTTAGGAATCTTTCTTTGTTTGGTGTGTCTCAGTAGCATATTTATCACTCCTCCCCTGTGACACGGCAGCAGGAAGCGCGGTCGTTGTTAATCCGCGCCCCGACCGATCCGGCATGATATTTTGTGATTTTGTTTGAGTCATAGCATTGGACTGGGTAGCTGCTTTTTGTCTTACCGCTATTCAAACAACCTTACTGGCATGGTAGGACCTCAAGCAACATAAGTCTCAGCCAGTATAGGTTGTTGGGTCATTGAGGTGTTCAAGCCCGACCACCACGTCAAGGTAGCAGCTTTCGGTTGGGAGTTCGTCGGCCGGGGATCGAATCTCGGACCATGTGCACAGTTGGTAAGCATCCTACTGCTGAACCACTGACGCCTCCTAAAGGATTAATTACAATATAATAATAATGTTTATAAATAACGAAGACTTTTGCGTTTTCCAGTTGCAAGTTTCTTGGAATATGCTTGATCAGACATGCAGTCACAAAAAATTGATATAAGAATAAAACTTGTGCACAATGGTAGAGTATCACATCCTTGATATGATTATGAGCAACAATGAATTGTGCTCGAAATATCATTAGTAAATATGACTGTATAACACTGTGAGAATTTATCAAAATAAATTTTACTGATAATGGTCACAAATTCTTTTCTTTTCACTCTACCTATAACCTTTGAAATTTTACTGGTTATTCACTGTCTTAATTTATCAATGACATTATTGCTTCCCAAGGTCATTTCAAACATATGTATATATACGCTAGCGCTATCAACCTTTTTCGATTGTTGTTTTGAGACGGTAGTACCCTCTTACTAACGTCCAGTCTTTTCTTGTTTATTTTGTGGCCCGTTGGTGTTATTATTGTTGTTGTTGACGTGTGATTTAGACAGATCAGTCAGTGGATTAAAATTAGTATTCGCCCCTGGTCTATTAGGTCATAATTCCAGTCATAACATCGGTAATAATTTTTTTCTATTTGTCTATCTATTCCCACCCACCCCCTTCTGAAATTGTAGGTTAAGCATCAAAATGAACATGAAAGTGGCTTTGAATCGGAACAGAGTCCACCAGTGAAATTATCTCTTCCTTATGCATGCAGTGAAACTGCTATCAGTTCTAATATTAAAACGCAAAAAGATGGAAAATCACTGCTACATAGTAAGTTATTCATTTCAAATATATACACGCTTAAATTGTATTATTCAGACATCATTTTCTCTCTTATTTATTGAGAATGACTTTCATTCATTGTGCTTTTAATGCATAAAAGTAGATACTGCTGACTGATCAATTGATTGATTGAGATGAGATGAGTAGTTGTATACCGTTCATATCAACCAGTAGTAGTGCGTCGGTTGCACAGTGGTTAGAACTCTCGCTAACATGGTCCGGGGTTCGAACACCTGATATCTATGGTCAGCCTGAAAAATTTGGGCTACCCATATCCATGCTGAAAATTCCATACTTGTACCAAAATTAGGGTGTGGAATCAATCTGTAATCAAAAACAAATAAATAAATACCAACGTGAACGTAACACTGGATGTTCATTACGTTCGTTTGGGGCTGAGTTCATCAGTGCGGTGTACCCGATTTAGGCGATCTCAAAGACCTAAGCAGTTCATACCACCCAATTTCTGGTCAGCTACTTGGTGATGGTGATGTGCTCAACCCCGAAATGGAACAAAATGAGACCCTCTGGTCGCTTCAGTCTGGCTGACTTCCAAGCATTACTGGTACACACATAACTACTTATCTCAATTAATCAGTAGCATGTCGTTATACGCGTTTAAACTGGTTAGTGCAACGGTTAAGCTTTTATTGTCTTTCGTGACATCATTTTCACCTCTAATTCCAATGTGAAGTGTTATTTAGAAAGTCTCATGGAATGAGATGAATTATTTCTTTCCCTTTTTTTTCTCTTGGTGGCCGTTACCGTAATTAGTTGTCCCTACAGAATACCAATCTTGTGTCATTTAGACGATTACATGTATATATATATATATATGCCGCACACAACAAAGTTATATGGAGGAATTGACTTCAAGCTTTATTTTTTCTCAAATATTTGTAATACATCCAACACATACTAGGTTTTTTTTGTGTTAATGCGAAGACAATATTTCTATATTTCTCGATATGCTCCATTGAATGACTAGTTATCAGATTGTACTCACAAACTAATGTCAGAAAGGACAGCGACCATGCAATTTCACCATAAACCAAATTCATGTAATGTAAATAATACTTATCCATGCCTATACAATTGGTGTGTCCTACATAGATAGGAATGTATATATATATATATATATATATATATATATATATATATATATATATATGGTAAGTGAAACAATCTCTGGAAAAAATGGCACCATAATTAGCTCCCAGAATAGACGACTAGGACGTTTGAAAGAACACTTTGAGGAGTAGTTTAACTGGCCTACAAGCACTCTCAACTTATCGAAGATACAACACCTCCCTGAATGTTGTGCTGAGTGAAGTGTGGCGGTTTGAACTACTGCACATCGGTGCAAAGTTCTATGTTGACAACAGACATATATATATCTTCCCAGGATATTCGTTTTTATGCTGTTTATAAATTACCAGTCTTTATCTGAATTGATGGTAACTGGCAATGCCCATTGCAATTTGGCGTTTAAACCGCAGTGGATTTTTGGTTCGAATCTCGATAGGAACACTTTAACTTACTGTAAATTGCAGGTACAGCTAGCTGACAAGTTCGAAACAGGATAGACTGCATCCATCGTGGATACTACTGCTAGTCAATATCAAACAAAAATAACTTTATAAGCTGCTGGTCTTCAGACATTTTCGAAGCATCTCTCTGTACTAGGCTCCGACATTTCAGCAGAGACTGAGCATTCCGGTTCAGCATAATCAGTCAGTGGGGAATGCCAAAATACAGACTCATAAATTTTCTAGGCTAGTTATTTTAGTAACTACTCTTAGAGTTATGTTTATATATGTGTGGTATCAGTTGTGTACGGAGTGGGACTAGGATAATTCTCTAGAATGCAAAACTATAACTAACTGACCATTTGCAAATATCTCCCTCCCACAAAATTCAAACTGGGAAGAACAACCACCTTTTACTAAACAAAATAAACGGTACATGGTATTTACAAAACCGCAAGAATTTAAGCCATAAACAAAACAAATCTGATTGGTTATCTGGCCTCAGAAAACTAAGCCACAAGTAAACGAATCAAAAATTGTCCAATAGCGTTGTCAGGTCAATACAGGTATAAATCGTGACTTCACAAGTAACAAACAAGCTTGTCCATTCCTGACAGTTTCGTACTGTTGGATCAGATTATATTACCACAGGTCATATTTGCATTTTTTTTTCCTCCTAAGTCTTGAGATTTTCACCCCATTTTGTTTCAAACTATATAAAAATATTCAAGTTGAGGTTTGTAGGGATTTGATTGATTGGTTACAGGATTTCCTTATGAGCTGACATTGGTTAGAGAACCATTGGAAAGGCTGGAGGGAGTACTGAACAACTGTTTCGTCTTAGTGCTTGAGACTTTTATTCATCAGCACGCACCCACCGCCACGGTTTGAACCTAGGACCTGCTATAGCCTGACAATGACCCTAATAATAATAATAATAATAATTTGCTCTATTCCAAAACAGTACTTGCAATACAGAATGGAATCCTCAGCACTTTACTACATACGGTATTGCATCCAGTTAGTGCATTAGCAATAAATAGAATTCTACATAGATTAAGGAAATCTCAGTTCATTATGACAACAACGTATTGGCATGTCGGTAGCAAAGCCAAAAGTCAACAGAATGTTTGAAAGGTGTTAGAAAAATAGATGCTAGCATGTTTACTGGCGTAAGTGGTAACAAAAAGGTCGAGATATGCAGAGTGTGAGAGAACGAAGAAGAATGTTTTAAGTAGAGTTGGTAAAGAAGAGAGAAACAAAGCTGCACATAACAGCAAAAAAAGACAGAGAGAAAAGGAAAAGAAAGAAAGGAAACGTTGTACCTATAAATGATATGAGTTGGAAAGAAGAGATCCAGTTGTTCTACTGGCTATTTAATAACTCATAGGTGTCACGCCTAATGCTTTCTTTATCCCACAGAACACAAGCTAAGTAGGGTATGGATGAGTTTTGTACTTGCTAATACGAGCATATAGTTTTTTATACAGTCTTCTGCTCCTGCCTGATGAGATACAAAGGGAGAGCTGTGAATGAAGAGGGTGGTGTGAATTAGATTGAATGGATTTTGCCCATTTTTCACATGAGTCCATGTGCCTGTCAACCAGAATATTAACAAGCTGGTTAAGGGGCACCCTGTGGCTTACCCTGCTGACAACCTTTAACATCCTGCGTAATAAGGTATAGTCTTTCCTCAGTAGCCAGCCCAGGAAAAACTAAGGTTGAACAATAGAGAATAATAGACAGAATGCAAGAGTTAACAAATTGTAGGAGTAAGATTTGGGTTGGGTTACACCAGAATGTCTTAACTTCTTGATGTAGAAGGTGAGACGAAATATTTTCTTAGAAATCATCAAGATATGAGACGACCAGGAAAGATCAGAAGATAGAATGACGCCAAGATATTTAATTTCCTACTTGGTTTCTATTTCAGTGCCATCTATGTTGCACACCTCGTGAGTTCTAACCAGTTGGTTTAGGTGAGATTTATGCCTAAAGGTGAAATTAACTGTTTCGCATTTGAATGGGTTTAAGGTGAGACCGTTTTCCATGGACTATTGGCTGACTTCTGATTAAAAGCCATTTAGTTTAGAGCAGTCACTTTGACATTTGACAGGTAAAGATACAGTCATGTCGTCAGCATATCAGACAAAATTAATGTCATTTGAAGATTTTAAGTCATGTAGAAAGAAGGATAATAGAAGTAGGGAAAGTACAGCACCTTGGGGGACACCAGCTTCAGTGAGCACAACAGAGAAGGATTTACCTTTGTATACAGTGTACTGCATTCTGTTTGAGAAGTAGGAATGCAACCAGTTAGTGACTCAGGACTCAGTTTGTGTCATAGAGAGCTTATTTAGCAAGAGACATCTAGGTACAGAGTCGAAAGCAGAAGTGAAGTCGAGAAACGTGCAGCAGACGTATTTGGCACCTTTATCTAATGATGAGACGATACTGTTGTGTAAGACGGCTGCAGCGTCCAAAGTGCTCTTACTTTGTCTATAGGCAAATTGTTTGGAGTCTTCGAAGCTTTTAAGGGAGGGTTCGAGTTTAAGAAGTACTAGTTTTTCTCCATGAGCTTTAGAAACGGTGAAGTGATGGCAATGGGTCTGAACTTTACGTTCTTGCTATTTCCAGGTTTAGGGACAGGGACTATTTTAATGTCTTTCCATGGAACAGGTACAACGTTTTTGGAGAAAGAAGCATTTAGGATGTTAGTTAGTGGAGAACATAAAGCATCTGCACATTGTTTTAGAACATATGCAAGTACACCATCAGGACCCCAAGACTTCGTGAGGGCTTAAGCGTTTTAAGACATTTTAGAACATCGAGAGTAATAAAGTCGTGAAAGTTGACTTCTATTGTCCAAAGAAAAATAACAAGTTCATAATCAATGCATATTCCGCGCTCATCTTTGATTTAGGTGTCATATGTATGATCTTGTGTAACTGTACACTAGATTATAAACTTCTTCTCTGTAAATTATACACTCTTTAAGTAATTTGAGCTCAGCAAGACATGTAACCATCATTGAGTACATCACTGTGATCTATTCTAGTATTCTGACGCTGCTTTTATTCCTATTTAGTATATACACATCCATGAAATCATTATGACTCTGGACCCTCCATTTATGCATTCTTCTTGTCTGATATGAACACACATTCATTTAAATGTATACTGTCTCATAATTATGGTATGGTGGGATGTGCCTGTGTATGTGTGCATTTATATTTTCACTCTGTCTAATTCCATTTTGATATCAATATTTCAATCTATTCCTACACATACTATATGTCTATTTTATTTTAACTTCTATTCTGAACTTCTCATAGACTCATGTTTCTCTCTCTCTTTGTGTCTCTCTCGGAACCTAGTTAACACTATTCAGACAGTATGCATATTTCTTATCAACAAATCAATAAATTAAAAAAAATAAGGCCATATCTATCGCTCACTAACATTTTTGTTTCGATTAACACCTCGTCAGACAAAAAACAAAATTGCATTTACATGTATGATATATTTATGTAAGTGCTATTAAGTTGATTAATCACAGTAGTAGTAGTAGTAGGAATAGATTTCATGAATGTGTGCCTAAAAATCACTCAAAAATAACTTTAGGCACACATGTATTACATTTTTCTGACTTTTGTTTGTTTGTTCGTATGTGTGTGTGAGTCTACAACTTGTGATTAGATTTCCAAGAAATTATGAAACTAGGCGTTTGATTTATACGCTTATTCATACTTCAAGGTCGTCATTCGAGTAATTAACCAATCAAATGGAAGTATTTTCAATACTGTTCACTGATTGGTTGATTTACTTGTACTCAATCTTTGAATGTAAATATCATTGCATTATACGATAGCTAGTTAATTATTTTGTTTTTTTCACAGTTAGAATCAAGCACCTATAAAAGAGAAGAAAAAATTAAATTCTTTCCACTTGTTTATCATAAAACGTACACAAAAAACGTTTTCACACTTTTTTACCAATTTTAATATATATATGTATTATTTTTCTTTTAAATATTTAAAATGTTTCCCGGATTAGAAAAGAATAGTCATTCACTTCCAAACGATTTCAATAAAATTACAAAACAAATGATTACAAACTCATTGAGTAATAATAATAACGATAACAATAATAATAATAGTATTAATGATAATAATGAGGAGACAAGGAAGCACCCTGAAGGAGATTTTCTTCACCAAATTGTCAAAAGTACATCAACATCTCCAAAAAATATCTACAATGCCTACAATTCGGAGCATACAGTTTGTAATGATAATAACAGTAATAATGAAAATATTGATGTCATATCATTACCTGATCAAGACAATTTAAAGCTGCTAACAAGAACATATGAAAAAATTTTATTCGATAATACTTCTAACAATTCTGATGGTAAAGCATCTCAAGATGGTGAAAGTTTTCTTACAGATCCAAATAGTTCCACTGATGCTGTGCTCATCGGCTTCAGTAAGCGTAAACATGATAATGTCGATGAAGGAAAGCAAACATTGCCTGAGGAAGCGAACAAAATAGAAGACCTAAAGTAAGTTACTGTATGTGTGTATGTTCTTTTCTCCTTAATTTTGATTTTTAAAAAGATTTATGATATTTTGTAAACACATGCTTATTATTATTAAAATACGAGTAGAAGAATTGGCGCATTGAGTAAATGGATTGTATCCGAGTGATTGAATTTGTCTGAATGTTCGCCTTCTAATTGGCTGGTCCGGGGATTCAACTTTGGTGGGTATGTACTGTTAAAGAGTCCCAAACTAGGACAAATCAGTTATCCAGTACTCCAGTACTGGTTTCCAATGTTGGTTATCCAACTGATGTCAGCTCGTGATCGACCTTGTAACCAATTATACCCCTGACAACCAACACTTGAATTTGATGCCCACTAAAGACTGGCTGCAAACAGGAAGTGACTTAAGGGTCTACTAGTAAGTCGGGTCCAGTTGGGCGCACCAAGTCATGTATGAGGATTATTACTCGCCTATTACTCGCTTTACGTATCGTGAATTGGTTGAAGTTAGAATTTATGCGCTGGTCATTAGATTAGATTCCAGTAGCTGAATAGTCTACGAGAACGCCTGGTAACCGGAAGGTCCTGGGTTCGACTCCCAAAGGTGACCTACTGCTTAATAAGTGTCCCAAACTAGGACGAGATGACTGCCTAAAATACTCTCTGGTTTTCAAGTGGTTCTCTAAATGATGTAAGCCAGTGGTCAAAGCTGTAGGTTTGGATATTTAGATTGATAGAAAAACCATCCGTTGAGTTTGGTTGGTAGAAAGGGAAAGTAGAAAATGAAAGACAATGGGTCAAATCCCACCGCTGCCCAGACTTCGATTTCACTTTTAATAACCATTCATTATTTACAAATTTAAACAAAAACAGATACAAGGAATATAGGATCGGAAAGGCAGCATAGATTTTTATTAATCTGAAATCGATGTGGAAATTTACTACACTTGGCACGAAGGACAAGATTTGCATTCTTAACACTGATTTCAAATCAGTCATTTTCTCTGTGTGGTTCAGAGAATTGACAAGCGTGTCGCCAAAATCCCTTCCAACAACCTTCTGCAGACCTTTATCATCAGTTGCTCTCATTGGTTTCATATTGTTAGTCAGATGACACGCCAGAAAAGATTAGCGACAAAAAGCTCTGCACAGTTTTGTGACACACACACACACACGCACACCAGTTTTCTGACCCATACAGAAGATTATTATTATTGTATCCTTTAGTTCCTAGAGGAACGTAGGGCTTCAGCTGCGCACCTCCATTGCCCTCGGTTTTCTGACAACTTTTTCACCCTGCTCCAGGTCTGTCCACATGCTTTCATCTCCTCCTCGCATGACCTCCTCCAAGTCACCCTTGGACGACCAACTCGCCGCCTCCCTTCCGGGTTCCACTCGAGGGCTTGTCTAGTGATGTCACTTGATGGTTTCCTCAGTGTATCGCCAATCGATCTCCATTTCTTTCTGCCTATTTGTTTCACAACCGGTTCCTGATTGGTTCGCTCCCAGAGATCCCTGTTGCTGATCTTTTCTGGCCATCTGTTCTTGAGTATTGAGCGGAGACAGCTGTTAATGAAGGTTTGAAGTTTGTTTGAGATGCTCTTTATGACTCGCCAAGTCTCCCATACAGAAGAACTGCCTTAAAATCAGTTTTGGAAATTTGAATTGCTGTTTGCTTATGCTGCCTGAGTACAAAAGATTTCCAAACTGATTTCAGAGGAATGAAGGTGTGGCTTGCATTTCCGGTTCTGATTTTGACATTCTCATCTGCATCATCATCCCCTTGTCCCTTGGTCCTGATGGTGTTCCTGCTGTTATCCTTAAGAAGTGTGCCGACATCTTGTGTTCCCCATCATTTTCCAAAAGTATTATACCTGAATCATGGAAAAATATCAAGATCGTTCCAGTGCCTAAATCAACAAGTGGACCTAATGTTAAGTTTAGACCCATTGCAATTACTTCACCTTTTTTGAAAGTTATGGAAAGACTTATTTTACTTAATCTTGAACCCTCTTTAAAGCCTTTCAACGACCCCAACCAGTTTGCTTATAAACATAGTAGGTGTACGTTAGATGCCGCTGTTGTCCTACATATAGTATAGTCTCTAGTTTAGATAAAGGAGCTAAATACGTTCGCTGTGCCTTCCTTGATTACACATCTGCATTTGACTCTGTTCCCAGGTCTCTCTTGCTAAGTAAGCTTGCTGCAACACAGGCTGAGAGCTGGACAAATAAGTGGTTGCATTCCTATTTTTCTGATAGGAAGCAGTACACCGTCTACAATGGAAAGTCCTCCACTACCTCACTTACTTTAGCTGGTGTTCCTCAAGGTGCTGTTCTTTCTCCCTTTCTGTTTTCGTTTTTCTTACATGACTTGCCTCATTCTGATGTAGCCACTTTTGTTAAGTATGCCGATGACCTCTCGGTTTCTATGCCTGTCAACTCTCAGTCAGATTGTTCCAAATTAAATAACTTTCTGTCGGAAATTAGTCAGTGGTCCTCTTCAAACGGACTTAAGCTTAATCCGTCTAAATGTCAGGTAGTCAATTTCACTTTCAGACGTAAATGTGACCTACAGCAACTAGTTAGCTCACATGGCCCCACTATCATTGACGGCACAGAGGTTGAAAATACATCTAATGTCAAGTACCTTGGGCTGAGTTTTTCCACCGATCTTTCCTGGTCTTCCCACATCTTGCTAGTTACTAGAAAGATGTTTCGCTTAACGTTCTACATTAGGAAATTTAGGCAGTCTGGTATAAAGCAGTCTTTGCTTTCTCAGTTTGTAAATTCTTGTATTCTACCCATCCTCCTTTACTGCTCCCCATTAATCTTTCCTGGACTACTTAAGAAAGACTTTGCTTCGCTGAGAAGGGCACTAAAAGCCGTTAGTAGGGCAAGTGGGATATCGTTAAACCAACTGGTTAACACTATTGTAGATAGACATATTATATCATGTAAGAAACTAGCGAATACAATATTGTCGGACCCCGAGCATCCTCTCTATACGCATCTATCTCCTTGCATTTCATCTGGTAGAACTAGAAGCAGCTATAGGCGGCTATATGCTAGGACTACCAAATACAAAAACTCCACAATACCATATCTGGCACAGCTGTTATGTGATGAGAAATCCGTTAGGTATGACACGATAAACTTACTGCGGCACTCTAACAAATAGTCCCATTAGTTTTTGTTTTCCTTTCCTCGTTACTATTACACTGTTGTTCTCATCTTCTATCACACATCAACTTTATATTTCATATCCTGTGGTGCATTGTTTGAAATGAAATACTCTACGCTGTTTTTTTATTTTTATTTATTTATCTTTGATTTTAAAAATCTTATATAATTTATGAGGTAATTAGATGCAATATACTGTAATGGACGCTGAAAATTCCATACCTGTACCAGAAATACCGTTTGGAATAAAGCTGTTACTATTATTATTATTATATTATTATTAGTTGGAATCAGACTGCCTAGATAAGCGGAGGAAGTGACCTGCTTTTCAAAAATTTCTTCCGTCGATAGTGATTAGTTGGCTGGCTGGCTGGCTAGCTAGCTGGTTGGTTGGTTGGTTGATTGGTTATCTTCATCACCTTTGTATACACGAGATGTTCACTTGAAGTCCTGTTTTCGTTGACTGCCTGCCTACCTGCCTCTTCTGCCAATTTATTAGTTTACGTCTGTAAGACTTCGAATTTTTATGGCATTAGATATTATATGTCATCATCGAAATTCAAACCATCCAGAGTCTTCTTATCAGTTTTGACAACAGTACAAAATAATGATGAAAAGGGGAGACGAAAATTTTAAAATATCTAAATGATTTCATGTTCATCTTTCCAAAAATTGTATATTCAATCTGTGTTAATTTATTCTATAAAACACAAAATAATCATCGAGCAAAGAATATTCTTTTCGATAAATTCCTCTTCTGCCTCTACAATCATATATATGTTTATATACAATATTGGTGTTTTTTAAATAATATCGATTTGTAAAGTATGATCAATACAATTACAGTTCACTAAAAATACTTAAATTATAATAGTAATAAAGATATAATAGCGATAAAGTACCTAGACAAGCTAGCCACTCCCTGTTGTATCTACCAATTCAACTGCACTTGTGAAGCGAGTTATATTGGCCGTTGCTCTAGAAACTTGATTTTTCATGTTCGAGAGCACCTCCCACTATGGCAAAGTAAAGGTGTAATGAAATCCATTAACAGTTCGATATTAGACCACCTGGTCCAAACCGGCCACGGAGCCAGCCAGCATTGAGGAATCCTTCTCTATCATTTACCGGGTCCTCAATAAATTGCCAAAATCATCGAAGCACCGCGTGCTCCAAACACCAGAGGCTATTGCATTTCGCGTGGAACAACCATTGCTTTGTGTGCAAAAGAAGCAAGTCCAGCCATGCACTACTACTGCTCTGACAGACCTTCAGTAGAGACTATGAATTCATGAATTTGTAATATTATCTTTCCTAATTTTTCTGACATTCAGTTTACTGTTATGTTGATGCTTTTGAAGTGTAATCTGTTGGTATTATTATTATTATTGATTCGATGTTATTTAAACAGTAACATTAATATAGCAAAAGTATTCATTCAGATATCTATAAAACACAACATAATCGAGCAAAGAATATTCTTTTCAATAAATTCCTCTTCTGGCTCTACAATTATATACATGTTTATATACACAGAATATTCAAGGTTGGTAGTTAATAACAATATTGGTGTTTTTTAAATAATATCGATTTGTAAAGCAAGATCAATACAATTACAGTTCACTAAAAATACTTAAATTATAATAGTAATAAAGATATAATAGCGAGTAGGATATCCACTAAAATTAGGAAATTTTCACGAAAATTGAGAATCATTCAAACCTAGATGGCCAAGGTAGGGACAGCGTCTGAACTAACTTCTTTTGGACGCACAAATTAGGCTTTTTAATGTGGATCCCCACAGACTCAGCAATATTTAGTAGTCGAACTCTTAAGCCAAAGTTGAGATTTGTTGGTATCCGGTAAATAACTCTAAAAGCCTGGTTAACATCAATCTGATGTTCTGTATCCACAAGATGAGCCAGAATAGCGCTACGAATGAATTTTTTTTTTACCTTTACTTAACCACTCAGGGTGATGTTCGTGACTTCGACGAGAAACACGCTTAATTGTACGGCCTATGTAACTGGATCACTCCACAGGAGCAGTTAAATTGGTAGATACACATGGATAAGGCGAAATTGGGTAGTTTGTCTTTTACTCCCGAACACAGAAGAGGAGTGATCTTAAAGATACAACGTAATTCAGCAGCAGCAGGGAATGCTCGTTTTACAACATTTCTAATGCTCTGTGTTAGTATCTCGCTAGTGTTGTCCCCAAGGAACTGAATCTGTAAGAATAAGGCCTTTTTTTGGAACTGTTGGTAACTTCGGCTGCTTTGGTTTCAAATTCATATTCTTATCAATAAACTTTTCAGGATAACCATTCTCACTTAGCAACCTTTTAATATTATTCAGTTCTTCATCAAGACATTCGTCCGAGCAAAGCGCTCTAGCTCTGTGAACCAGGCACTTTATCAAATGTGTGTACTGGCCCGTTGATGTAGGTTTTCTATAAACACTTCTTCTTATTGTGCCATCCTCTTTTCTGGTTATAAAGACGTCTAAAAATGGAATACCAGATTCTTTTTCTGTCTCGATGGTAAAATTTATTGTAGGATGTATCTCATTAAATTTATCCAGGATATTCTTTGCCTCCTCCTCAATTTTCATAATCAAAAAAGTATCATCCATGTACCGACAATAAAATTCGAGTTCACTAATAACATCCTTCAGAGGCCAATTTTCTAGTTTCGCAAGGAAAATGTCGGCTAGAATGGGTGTTAAGTGCTGCGTACCCTTTGAAAAAAAATACTAAACGAATTTCCTTGTTATTATTCTATTTGTGTTTTCGTTATTTTTTTTCAAGATCAAATCGTCAAGGAATAATTATTCACAAGTGTTCTTCACTTCCTGTTATTATATCACCATCAATATCATCTTTATCATCCTCGTCGTCGCCATCATCATCATTATCAATGTTAACCGGCGAAGAATTTGAAATTCTACCAACTTCATTATCAATTAAAACAAGGTCATTACGTGTTAAACGTACAACAAGTGTTTCATCAGTGTCATTGGTTTATAAAAGAAAAAATAATAAATCATTTAATCGATACACTTACACCAGTAGTCATAATAAAGATAACAGCCATAATAATGACAATAACATTGAAAATTGTACAAAAATCACGAATGAACAAAGGTCATTTACAAATAAATATAAAGCGCACAATTTATATTGTTTAAAACGATTAACAAACAGACAGTTAAAAATCAACTCATCTAGGGGTAAGTTGTTACGTAATACAGATTATTTATTATTATTATTATTTTCATTGTATGTTGATTATTCTTGCCTTATATAAAAATAAACTGTGTGACAAAATTTTTCTAGAGGGTTATATGAATCAGTGAAGTTAACTTTTGAAAATCTGTGTAGCTGGTCCAGTGGTAGCATGCTTAAGCGGTTAACTGATGGATCCAGGATAATGAGCATTTCGTCCTATTTGGGACTCGTCATCTGGATGTACCTGCATTCCCCAGTGAGTGAGTGATGATGTTCCCACCGAGGCTCGAACCTAGTGCCCATAGTTTGAAACGTCAAAGCTTTATACACTAGACCACTTGCGCCACAAGAGCCACCTCTTGTGCAAGGGGTCATACTAATTATTTTTAATTTAATTTTAGATTTTCCCGTCGATTGATCGAACTGAAGTGTTCAGTCTCAGGTCAACATGTCTGTCGGCTTCTTGTGCAGATGCTTCGACGATGTCTGGGCGTGTACTTAGAGGTTAATTAGTGGATGGTGACTAGCGCGTTTTGGCGTTTTGAATTCTAGCCTCGGTGAGAACATCGTCACTCACTAGGGAATGTACGCCCATCCGCCTGACGAGTCCCAAATAGGACGAAACTTGCATCTTGGATTCCACTGCTTTATATACCCCTCAGAACTCAAAGGAACAGAAAACTTTTGAAGACTTATGTAGCCTTTCAGACACGTATTCACAACACGAAGTTTATTATTCTCGTTGTATTGACCCGTTGAATGGGAGGTACATCCATTCGACTAGAGATTTTAAAAGACAGTCTCCCAGCAACTGACAAAAAGGCCGCTAAATGACTTCATGTAGAAATAGATGGTTAGGTCTAACGCCTGAGAACTCCAATAACAAATGCCTAGATACACTTATACTGTACTCACATTATAAAAGACTGTTGTCCTGTATACTTATTTTGTCTAGATGTAATTTATTTTCTATAAAGTTTTCTGTCTAAATAACACCTTGGCTGATTGTTTGCATTGGATTGCTGTATACACTTTATTCAGTCTAGCCGACTAATGAGTAAGGCATACTTCTGTTGTATATAATTGTTTGATGAATGGTGTGAAGTATTCTCCATAAATCAACTGGTATGTAGGGGAATAGGACAGACAAAAAACTCAGCAACACAGATATCTTTTCAGCCGATTTCATCCTCAAAAGTAGCTAAACAATCCTATTTTTTTATACATAAGTTTACATAGTCAAAATTGTTGTGTAATTAAATTAAAAATAATAACAAAGAGAGATTAAAAATGATAATTTTCAACTTCAGATGAAATTTTAAAGGTATCAATATAGATCACAGAGGGGAATAGAGAATATGTTTACGTGATATGGAAAATAAGACTGATCATGAGTTAATATCATCAGTTAGAGAACCATTAGAAAACCAGCATTGATTACTAATCAGCTATTTCGCCCTAGTGATTGGGACTCTGCAGAAGTACGCACTCTTGGAGTCCAAACCAAGGACCTTCTAGTTACAAGGTGGGTGAGCTTGTAGACCACTAAACCATTGGCACCCGATCCAATATCCCGTTCATGAATTCTGACTTCTGTCAATAGCACGACCACTTGCAAATGTCATTGTTGACTACTTGTTCCCACACCCGGGTTCGAACTCTGGAGGGCACATACTGCCGAAGAACAGTCCTTAATTAAGACGTAACAACTGTCCAGTATTCTCAGGTTTTCCAATGGTTCTCTAGTCAGTGTCACCTCATGATGAATGATTACGAACTGACTTCAATTAGAAAACCGCCACTGAAAAATAACTAGGAAGTAGTGGGCTGTTGATTCGTCCTAGTTTGGGACTCGTCTTCAGCAGTACGCTTCTGACTGCTCAGTGGTCCCAAAGGGGTATGTAGCATCTGTTCAGTACTCACTGGTAATTTTCAGTGATCTCTCTCTCTATTTCTACCTGACTAGAGTTGGTTCATGATGAAATCTAACCACAGAGATCAATCCAAATAAGTGTGTCTGTTAAAATTTTATAATCACGGAAAATACCCATTGAGTCATGAAGAAAATAAAAGACAGATTCAGCGAAGAAAATTTTCTTTATCGACGAAATCATCTTCAGAGGCTGGCTGTACAGTCATATTTATACTTAGAAAAATTTATAGTGGTCTATTATTGAGTAACAGGGCGGGGGTGACATAATTGATATAATTACTCAGAAGTGGCTTTAGAAGTGAAAATTAAAAGTTGTAAATTACGTGGTACTCAACGGCACAAAGATAGAAGTTTGATAAGGTTAAAATTGCTCTTGAGTGAGAATAAAGGTGGTATTTGAGTGTAAATTTAACCAGTGTGAAGAGGGTGTGAAAACATACAAAAGGAGCATATGAAACTGATAATAGTGAATTAATTATTAAAGCAAAAGCAAACTAAAAGTAAAATTAAAAATTAAGAACAAAAGAAAAAACCAAAACGTTTTTTACAGGGAACGATTAGTGAAGAGGTTAAGACCAAGGTAGAATAAGAGACTGGACAAACTTTTTCTGTATACAGAGTTCAGGGTTGTATTGATGAATTGCCAGCGCCTCCGCCATACACAAAAGCCGAAACTTGACGCCTTTTGTACCATCTGGCTTCACTTTGTAGATGATGTTGAAAGACGACTCTGCATGGAGCTACGTGGCCTGAGTTCACCAAATGCTCGAGAATTGAGCTAGTAATTGTCTTGCATTGTCCGTTTGCTAACCATGCCATATAATGTTCAGAGATGCGTTTGGAAAGTGTGCGCTTTATGCGGGTGGCCAATATAACTAGCTCCACACGAGCAGGTGAATTTATAAACACACACTGAGGTGGCCGTTCAAAGCGGCAGTTTATCCTTTACACATCCGTTGATCATTTGTCGGCTGTAGAAATTGACACGTAGCTCAGCCATAAAGAAGGCTTTCCTCAGTGATCTGCATAAGCAATTCTTCAAGATCTCAGCTGCGATATCACCTTTAAATTCAACACTCATAAAGAGCAGTTTCTTCGGGACCGGCTGGATTCTTTCAGGCTTTTCTCTTACCTTCATGTTTTTCTCTATAAATCTTGGAGGATATCCATTCTCTATGAGAATTTGTCTGAGTCGCTCCAGTTCCCCATCGACTGTATCACTTGAACATATCCTCCTTATTCTATTCTTATACTACTGTACTTTTAAACTGTGTTTTCTTTCATTCAACTGATATTGATTAGTTAAAACAGAAAAAATAGTATCTATTTAATTTGATTGAATAATTTCTCTATATTTAGTTTGCTTGATCTAAACAATGGACCGTTACCATATCAACCATATATATATATATATATATATATATATATATATTGTAGATTTTTTTGGGCGATTCCCTTAACTACCTCTTTATACTGCATATCAAAATCGTTATTACCCACAGACACATACACATAGGCAGGAATTACCTAGACGTGTACACACACAAGTGTATATGCCATTGTCTTCGCTCCTCTTCTAATAGATTCCAACCGCGCACCTTGCCACCACTCCTATTCACAGTTAAATTTATTTTGCTAAATATGCTTTGAAGACACATTACCCGTATTGCTTTTATAAGTGAATAAAAAGAATAAAAGAAGAGGAATATATACATAGATATATGCATTGAGTGAGTGAGTGAGTGAGTGAGTAATGGCTGGCATTCATAGGAAATAGAGACAATGTGAGAATAATAACAATATGCACTATAGAAATATATCTATAATGAGCAGTAGAAGTAGACATTGGTGAATCACTTGTACACTTATTAAAAAAAACTAACCAAATTTTCCCCCATTTAAAATTGATATAAATTTCAGTTATTTAAAAAGTATTTACTCTATCGTAATAATAAGAAATAATTAGAAGTGATTGAATGAATCAAAAATGTAATAACGAGTAAGAAATCTTACTTCTGTACTGGTTGTGTAGTCTTATTTTAGTCGGTGCTCAAACAAGGTGTGGCTTAATCGTCTATGTTTCATTGTGGATTTTACTGTTGTTGTTGTTGTTGTAGTTGCTGTTGGTTTTCGTCTTACTGTCGTCTCTATGATTCATTCAATCATTCAAGAGTTTTGAAGTACTTTATACATGAATGACTAATAACTGACTTTAGAATGATTACAGTGTAATGTTGTTCAGTAAAGTCCAGTTAAACCACACCCATCAAGAACTTGAATGATTCTTTGTGGTTACATAAACTAGGATAAAGATATTGTGAATATAAGTACATCTCTTTTTTTTCATAAATAACTGACTTTATATACATCTGTCAATTAGTAATGTTGGGGGTGGGGGGGGAGTGTGTCCTGTCTATGGTGAGCTCAGTCAGGATAGAATACCTGGTGTGAAATAATTAGGTAAACGCTTAATTGACTTTGATTTTCAGTATTAATACAGACCATAAAAGTGTTGCTACATCTGCATGGTGCCATGCAAAAGGGTGAGGGTAGCCGCTTGCGGCTTGAAGGAATGCTCCGCTAAAAACCAACTATCATCACTCTTCCCAACCAACAGTGGGGTTAGACCTGGGGTTGTCCAATCTCTCCATTTCTCTCTAACTTTGCCATCGATGACATTCTGGAGTCAGCTCTGAAGGATATGTGTGTGTGTGAAGGTGGTGTAGATCTGCTACCTGAAGATAGACTTTTCGACCTCGAGTATGCAGACGATATCGTCTTACTGTGAGATAGCATGCAGGCTGCCCAAATCGCATTTAATCAGTTGGCGATCAGTGTCTGTGTGCTTTGCGCCGTCTAAGTGCCAAGTACTGTCACAAGATGGACAGGAGCCTGTACCTGCACTCACTCTTGCGGGTGAACCGCTTGAAGTTGTTGATAAGTTTGTGTATCTGGGTAGTTGTGTGAGTGCTGGCGGAGGGGTGAAGGATGAGATTTCCAACCGCATAATGAAAGCTAGGGTGGCATACATCAACTTGGGCCACCTCTGGCGCCGTCTCGACGTCAGCC